ATGGAGAATCTGGTGGCTGGTTCCTGAAAGCGGAGCTGGGTCTGCCATGGCGAGCGGCGACTCAGACAGAAAGTCCAGGCTGGCCGGAGCGCGGTGACAGCCCCTGCACGCCCCCGGTGCCCGGGACAGCCCCGGGGCCGGCACCGAGCCTCCACCGCCGGGAAACCGCGCCCGGGGAGCCCCTGTGCCTCACCCTCCAAGGCAGCAGGGAGTTCTCTAATGCCTGCAAAGCCTTCTTAGAGTGCAGCAAAGATTCTACAAAGCAAAGTTTCATTATCAGCAGAAGGTCCTCTTCACCCTTTGCTGCCACCCTCTCTAGCTCTGACACAGGATTCAGTCAGAAAAAGAGTTGTACATGCAAATCTGTTCACTCTTCCTTGTGGGGAATATCCCTGGGGGGTGAGGCCTTGCTCAGAATCCAAAATAAAAAGCAGAGGTGTCTCTCTGGGTGCTTCAGTGGCTGTTAATTGCTGCCCTGCCAGGAGCTGCAGGCACCGCGGTGGCTGCTGAGGGATTTCTTGTGCAGCATGGTTTGCCTCAAGTCTGGCACCTTCCCGTGCTGGGTGTGCACACACAGACACAACAGACACCTCGGTTCCACTTCCTCCTCCCTGCTGAACTACAGCACACCTGTAGGTGCTGATCTGATGTGCATCTGTAGCTCAGAGTCATCAGGGCTGGGAATTCTCAAACTCAAAGCTCTGGGGAAAATGTGATACAGCCCCAGCGAGGCCTTGGCTTGACCCATTTGCTCTCAGTTGGGTTGTTAAAATTCATCATTAGTTAATTTGGGCCAGGCAGTTTCTGCCAGGATGTGAGTTAAAATCTCCTTCAGAAACTAAAAGATTTCTGGATGTGTTTTTTTAAAAAAACATGTAGGGATATAAAGAGGTGTAAGATATTAATTTTAGAATGATCAGTGTTACACCACTCAGGTTCAGGGATGAAGTGGCAGCTCCACCTCTTCCCTGTGCCCTTAACTCACTCCTTGCCTCTTCCTTTGTGACTTCTTGAAATTTTCTGTGATTCTGCTGCACCTCTGTCTCCAAAGGTGCTGAATTACACAAAGAAACTAAAGATAAGGTTTTGGTACTTTCCAAACTAGAGAGATTTCCTGTGGTAAATTTCCCCCATATGAGATCAGTTAACTGAAAACAGGATGTGGCTCAGAGAGAGATTAAAATTTGTAGTTTAACTTTACTGTAGAGCCATTCCAGCAGTGCTCAGCATTGCAAGGCACTGTGTTACTATTTAAGGGGAATGACCATTTTATATCCTAGGGAAAAAGTGCATAAGGGAATATATTCATATATTTAATAGCACCTTTTAAAAATAAGCCAAGGTCTTGAGATTTTTAATGCTACAAATTTCTTAGGACATTGAAAATGGAATTTAGGCTCAGATGCTCTGGGTTTTAAAGACTGTAGTCAAAAGGAGAATTGCATTTCAGAGAGATGTTTAAGATAGGGATGTCTCATTCTATGAAAACATGATTTTCAATTAGTTGTATAACTAGTATAAATTAGCTGGAAATGTGTACATGTTCTAGGAAAACCTGAAAAATGGGTAAAACACAGGAAGGAAAGTTTGCTAGTAAAAGCAAATCCAGTGCCCATGAGATTCAGTACTTCTAGGAACTGGAGCTCAGTGCTTCAAGTCAAGACTCCTGCCTGCTCAGAGCTCTGATACGAAGGAATTCTGTAACTTCCACACTATTACTTATTTTCTGAATGGAAAAAAATAATATCTGTGAGGTTCCATCAATTCAAAATTAGAAAAAGAAGAATCATTAAAACTGATTATTGTTATCCTCAGCAAACTCAACAGCTTTGCCACAATTCAATCTCTTGTCTCTAATAAAACCTTTTCACATGTTTCAGTTTTATCTGTCTGTGCCTACTACCAGTTGTAGCTCTGCTTTGTTATGGTGATACCCCGAGGACCAGACAGCAGGGAAGTTCCCCACTAAGTTTCATAAGAGTTGGACTGTAACCCTCAAAGAGACATCAGGAATCAATTTTATTTTCCTCATCCCTGCTCTGCCTCAGGATTTTTCCCAGATCATATTCTCTGTAAGACAGTATTATACTAGGAATATTTTCCTCCAAAGAATAGATACTCTGGAGCACCTCTTCAGCATTTGACAGGAGAAAAGCACCCAAAAATCGACACTTTATATCTATCTATCTATCTATCTATCTATCTATCTATCTATCTATCTATCTATCTATCTATCTATCTATGTGGCTTCTTTCAGTCACTTACTTAACTAGCTTCCACAAGCCAAGCCAAGGAATCACCCTGAGGAGCAGAGAGAAAATGGAAGTGTTTCTATCACAGTGGCTTTGATGGTTTCCTACAAGCAAGAGTATTTCAGAGTAACTCATTGAGAGATTTCTGAGGCTGCCTCTGATTTTAGGCCACCAGGCAGATTTTCTTCACATGGAGCAGCTTCCTGGTGGTCTGGTGCCTCAGCCACTGTCCCCCCACAGCAGGACAAACGTGGGCTGCAATGTGTGAGCCCAACATGGACCAGTTTGTGCCAGTTTCCCCAGT